AAGCATGGCATCGTAGTCTCAAGAATGCCAACACATGAGGTTACCTATGGCATCACATGATTTAAACACCAATGACTTTATAAGACATACATATGTTCGAAAAAGCTAAAGTTAAAAAAATTGCATTTTTTATTTGCACTTTACCTGTTAGTTATACTACATGGCATAGCTACCTTGTAATATCCTAATATATATAATCTATTAAATAACTATGATGGAACCTACAATTATGAAATTTTGTATGCATATTCCTCATAAGCTATTTATATATCTAAAAATAAAGTATGTCTATTCTTTAAAAGGACGAAATGAGTACAACTAAGTAAATATAACTTAGCCTGCATCTGATAACAATTGATCAGTGTTTTCGTCAAATACATTTTCATATTGTTTTTACTATCTAAGCCATACATTCAAAATTACCACAATCTAGATATATAATATTTTTAAATATTTAAGCAACATGTTATCATGTATTTTCTTTAAAAATATTTTTTAATTAAATAGAGATAGTGTTGTATAAGTATACTTACAAGAGTGCTTTAAAAGTGAGATGAAAAGTGCACAGATTTAATACTTACTTTAAGTAAAGGTATTTCTTGATATATTTTAATGCATTTAAATATTAATATTATTTAATAGTTACCTTATCTTAGTATTTTTTTTTTCACATTTGCGTAATTTGCCTTAATTTAGGTCTTTGCTTATTATACACATTATATAATCAATAATGGGAAGAAATGCAAGTCAATGATGATGATAAACGAGATATGTCCCATAAAAAAAGATTAAAATATTAACGAATTAATCTGAACTTATGAATACGAGAACGAATATAAAGGAAAAGGTTCTCGTATTAATCTGTCTGTTATCTTTGCAGGACCAAAAGGTGGAACGGTGGACATAAACTATATCTATCACAAAAAAGCAGACGATGTCGCGGGTAATAACTACTAAGGAAATAATTCGTCTTGTATATTTTTTTACTAATCAAGAGACTATTTTACGATGAAGCTATGTCCCTTAAGAAGGATGCTCGTCTCAACTTACCAAAATTGATGTCTGCTTGGTATTTAATAAACAACAAAAAGGCCTTAAAGCTATAAAACGTTATAGCGAATATCCGTACTATTCATATTCCACTTTTTATGGGGGACGGACATATCTTTGTGTTTCGTGGGTTTTATGTGACCTTTATGTGACATCGTCAACGAGAACAGTGACCCACGAAATTCGTTCTCTTTTACGTCTCCATAATTCGGTTTGTTTATTTCATATTTGGTTCCGATTTTGACGGTAAACTGTCATAATTTTGTTATCTACATTGTAAATAAAGCTTACTTCATACGGAGCTGCCAATTTTATCGGACTAGCTTGTCCAGGAGTTTTACATGTTAAAATCGGTTAGTCCCAATTTAATAAGGAAGGGCCTATATTGAATTATTTTTTAAGTTGTAACGGACGCACTGTACTCACCAATACTTCTGGATGACGTCGAAACAATATCACGAAAGAGAAAAACATTAAAGTTAATTGAATTCCCGTACCTAGTTATTAAATAATAGATTCAAAAACTATTTTGATATTATTTTTTTGTTGTATTATTCAGACAGGAGTGAGCCGCTACTTGTATTGCATTGCCTTGGTGGTCCAGCGGTTTAGCTCACCGTTTTACCTCCGATGATCGAAAGTTGGAATCTTTGCATATATATGTACATGTATATAACATATAATATTTGTACTCATGAGTTCGGATATTTTCTATGTAGGTACATATAAATATTATGTATGTATTTACAATACAGGTATCTAAGTATATCAATTTGTATGACAATTCCTGCTTAGCTTAGACCTAAATGGTGCTATGTGAATTATACTGGGATATATATAAGTATATATAGTGAAAGGGTATTTTTGAAAAAGACAATTTTTTCTCTTGAATGTTGTAACTTTATTTTTACACAATCGATAGAATGTTTGTATTTTGCATCATCACATCTTACAACACTTTTACGTTACTATAAATTTGTAGGTACGTCTTTGGCAAGTCGACATCTTACAGTCACACTTCTCATATGAGCAACATTATATCTATAGGTACTTATGTTAGTGGGGAAGCATGTTTGAACCTTTACAAAGACAGTATATGTTAACTTCTATAAATATACTTGTAGGTAATATACCCAAAATTTACGAACTGGTGCAAACTTGTATAAAATATTTTTTTTGTAAATTCACTAATTGATCAATTGGGTAACATATTTTATATTTAGCTATTACAGTTTGGTTGTGATAACCTTAACATGTTAAAGTGTATAGAGTTTTAGTGAGTTTATACATTTGACGAAGTTTTAGTGAAGAAAAACCTCGTCAAATGTGAAAACTGACCTTTATACATTTATAATACGATGTGTAACATTGCTCTTAAAGCAGTGCATCTTACTGATATGAAACAATTCACTTTATGGTATATAACCACTGTATCAATTTGTTTAACACAAGTGACGCAACATTGGCTTTCGAAAACACTTATGAATACGTCCGTACAGAATGAATTACATGCAATTCATCATGTATTTATGGTATTTTATGGATAAATTGCATATGATTAATCTCTACATATAAAATATATGGGTCACAAATACCATTGCATCTTTAGAATAAAGTCAGGGGGCAAATGTTATTATTTTAATATATGAATCTCTTATATATCCAATAATATTCTTTACATATAATAATGAAAATAAGAATGTACAGTCATAAACATTATATTAAATCAAATAAAAACAGGAAATGATAGATACGGCATATTGTTAAGAAATGATAATGTGCTCAGTGCCTCTTAAAAACAGCAGTCTAGTCATATTGAATCCTTTGTGAAATGAAAACACTTCAGTCTCGGGTATATTTGAGACTTTTTCGAATGCTTAACTATTTCTTTAATAAACTATCGAAATTTGTCCTTATTTTATCTCATCTTTATTATTATTTTATCTATAAAGCAGTGCATCTTACTGATATGAAACAATTCACTTTATGGTATATAACCACTGTATCAATTTGTTTAACACAAGTGACGCAACATTGGCTTTCGAAAACACTTATGAATACGTCCGTACAGAATGAATTACATGCAATTCATCATGTATTTATGGTATTTTATGGATAAATTGCATATGATTAATCTCTACATATAAAATATATGGGTCACAAATACCATTGCATCTTTAGAATAAAGTCAGGGGGCAAATGTTATTATTTTAATATATGAATCTCTTATATATCCAATAATATTCTTTACATATAATAATGAAAATAAGAATGTACAGTCATAAACATTATATTAAATCAAATAAAAACAGGAAATGATAGATACGGCATATTGTTAAGAAATGATAATGTGCTCAGTGCCTCTTAAAAACAGCAGTCTAGTCATATTGAATCCTTTGTGAAATGAAAACACTTCAGTCTCGGGTATATTTGAGACTTTTTCGAATGCTTAACTATTTCTTTAATAAACTATCGAAATTTGTCCTTATTTTATCTCATCTTTATTATTATTTTATCTATAAAGCTGTTGAGTTTGTATGCAGTTTAACAAATAGCCTATTTTAAGTTGACCAAAAAGGAAAATTGCGCTTGCCTTATCCTGTTTTTATTTAATCTTCGAGCATGTTCATAAAGTTATTTTATATTATCATACTATGTTCCAGAGTATTATCGTAACAAATACATAAAATCTGGATATATTGATATTAATATTTTAGATGAATAATATTCATATTCTGTGCAGTATTTTATGTATTTACCAAGCTTTATTACTTACAGGAAAGTTCATTTAAGCCAAATTGATTGATGAAACTATTGTCAACGTTTGTAACAAGTTACAAAACCAAACATGCTTTACCCAAATACACTGTTGAAACCAATCTAAACACACAACTAAATAATTGGAAACTATATATAGCCTTTATTCAGCTTTCTATCTGACTTAAATTAACTAGGAAACCATATGTCACTTTATCTATTAAAATAATAGATGTAGGTTCCTAAATAAGATCTATGCAAAAATATGATTTCCCTCTATTTTTATCGAAATACCATTACATGAAATAGTAATAACATAATTCACAATGTTTATTTCATCGAGATCATAATATTATATGTTAACAAGAATAAATAGTAGATAAAATTTTAGAAAATGTAACCTTTTTCACAGATGCATATATATCGTCTTGATATTTTATAATAGACTTCATAAAATAAATAATTTAAAAGAAATGAATATGTAGATACTGTTTTATAATTCAATATAATTAAATTTCATTTAAATAAATATAGTATGCAATCAAAACATTTATAGTATCTATAGTCAAGTCTTATATCTCAAGCCTCCAAATTTATATAAAAAGCATGATAAAGTAAATGAGATAAACTAAAAACTATATCACATACTAATAACGGAATTTTAATATAGATGTATATTTTGAGCTCCCATTTATGGTAACAGATGTAATAAAAAGAGTTGTAACTAATCAAAAATTAAATGTAAGAATTTTAAAGTTCAATTAGGTATAAATGTTGTAAATCTTAAAACTAAAGCCAAATTGCATTTCGAATTATGTACATCTATTATATTAAACTTAATCACATTGCATCTTAGCAGATTCCCTAATATACATAATAAAACATTTAAAAAACTACCTAATTACATTATTCTATCATTACATCAATACTGATTCCAATTATTATTTTCATCTTAAATTATGATATTTTTCAACAACCTTAAATGTCGAATTGTCGTAGATCATTCAATATTTGGCATACAATGGCTCATCCACGACACGTCATTGGAATGATTTAAAATTATGCTCAGTATCAGATAATCATTTGGACAATCTTTGGCACTATATACTTACCTCTAACAAGTCTTGAAGACAGAACCAAAGTTGTTTCATATCTTGCATTAACATACTTAGCCTATGCTACCTACCATTACCTAGCTTTGCTTTGTCACTATGAGACACGACGACTAGCACATTTCCGCTGATTGCAACAACCCTTTGTATTTAATTTATCACCTTCATCATCATTTTCATCACATTTGTATCACTTTTTCATGGCGACAATTAGTCCAGTTAAACTATAATATTGTCAGCGGTCATATGAAGTCGTTCACTTCATTCTGTAACGGGCCTTCAGATTTCTGCACGCACTTTCTGATGGCGTCTAGTATTATGGTAATTCTTCTATCGAGTGCAGCGAGATGGGGCTCCCACAAGATTGGAGAGACTGGATCTGCCTGCATTGTATCCCGCAACACTTTTGAAAGTGGTGTCCCGTTATGAAATCTAGAAGTAGGAAATGTGAACGTAAATGTACGTAGGTACAAGTGTAATATATTGTACCTACTTGTGTTACAATATAAAATGAGCAACTCTTGCATATTATTGTACGTACAAATGGTCGCGGTACTGATGTTTAGATACAAATTATAATTTTGATAACGTAGTGTTTTTCAAAAAACAGAAATAAAATATTGCAAAATTAAAAAAAAAATGTACGTCATCATTCCATTTTGAACGTATTGCACCACTGCGTTTACCTACATGGGGTTGCTATTCTAGTAGGTACCATTCATCCCCCTAATTTCCTAACCGATTTCAAGTCCACAAATATCTAAAGCAACAAATTATGCTTACTATGTAAAGATTATGTAATAATTATATGTATATAAATTATTTACTTGAGCAATATAGAGAGAGTGGTGTGTCGAACTGTGCAACACTGAAGCAGAGGAGCTAAGATACTCAGCTCATCATGGAATGCCTTGCCGAATGCTCGCCCTTGGTCCAAATGTAAGGTAAACGATTCATTACCAAACATCCTGTAATATTAATGAAATATTACTTTAAAACAGTTGTATATAATAACAGCAAAAAAGATAAAAGAAACCGGTCTATATCCAAAGTAGACACTTCATACTGATATTTTACTCTTGTGAATAAAATAAAGTTTGAAGTATGTTCCTATTTGATTCAAATCAATTAAGTTATTAACAATAATGATGACTGTAATTGTGTATAAATTAAGCGTAATTTGGTAGATTTTTTTTAAAAGATGTTATTTTCATATGCTAATAAGATAGAAAAACATGACAACCGTCGCCTATAAACAGGAACAATACAATTTTACAGAATACATTTATACGGGTGTGAATGTATTCTTAACACCACCGTCATCGATAGAGAATTCATCCTTACATCACTAACAGTAAGATTTCCGAGGTGTTTTTTCCCGTTTAGACTGTGGAATGAACAACCTGCTGAAGTTTTTTCCTAGAGGCTTTTTAAGAAGACTATATTAAAATTAATTAAGTGTTTCTCTGACAGTGTCTCTTGACAACTCGCACGTGACTCCCCGGTTCCAGGTGGTAACCGTTAAACATCAGAAGTACCGTAAATTCGATAGCCACCATAGCGGCAAACCAAAGCAGATGCTATAGTTTATCTTAATTAATTCATACTGCTAAAGTGGTACTAGTACATCAGTAGTCTTGTTAATATTAAGAAAGAAAAATCTTACTTGAATGTCTCGTAGTGATGCCGGTCCATGTTACCGGTCAAGAAGTCGAAAATGGACATATCCATCAAGTCGAGTAACCTCCGTCCCGAATCGTATGGCGCTGTTGTGCGGACCTATGTATTAAAACAAAACTATATGAGTAACATAGATATGATGAATATTTAAAAAGGAATATACTTCTGAAACATATTATTTATTTCATTAAATTCTTTATTTGTGAAGACTGTACTTCCCAAATTAATAAAGAATTTAATTCCTCTATTTTGAATACTTAATTATTATACAATAATTATATCTATGTAGATTGTTTTATCAATTTATAAAGATATAGACATATGTAAATTATAATAATAAAATAATAATTTTGAACTTTCACATAGCGTAATTTAGTCCCAAAATACGTTGTAATAATCAACTTGTAGACATACTTGAATACATTTTATAATTATACATATAGTCTATACAGAAAACAATTAGACCAATACAAATAATCATACTAATGAATACAAATGTTTCTATCGTAAATATTATAAATAGATTAATAATAATCTCTGAACAGTATATAACACTCTAAAAGATAGATCACGTCACACAAGAAACCAGTCTATGCGGGTATAATATGATATTGCAATATGTACAGATCTTCAACTTGACGGCTCAACTGATGAAATGGGGTCGTCTACATACAAACTATGTAGAACATAATATAACACTAACGTTTATAATAAAATCTGGTGTGTCAGACATTGAGAATTATGTTGTCACTGTACCCAGAGACTTTATTCTTCAAAGAAGAATTAGTAAGTGAGAGAGATGTTTGAATGTTGTTCTGTATTTTAAACAACGTCTTAATATAAGAATAAATATACGTTATTGTTTTTGCGTCAATCTGGAGATCAATAAAATAGTTTTATCTCAGAGCATAGATAAATGAAGAATGTTTATAATGATCCAAGTAGTAATTAGGTAACAAGGCTAAAAGACTATATAATATAATATTTTTGTTATATATATAACACATAAAAATAAATGGGTATAATAAATCATAATTCATTAGAATCGTGACACTCAATTATTATAATGCTCGCTTTACTATCTGTATTATGTTAAAAGGAATTCCTTCTAGACAATTAAAGTTATATATTTCAAAGAAATAACTTTTTAATTATACCTAATTACACAGCTGTAACTATTGTAACCCAATTACAAATATTATGTACCCAATAACCAGTTTACATTATTTTAATTTTTTTTAATTATTTTGACTAAATATAAGAAGCATATATGTACTTAATACAAACTTATGCATATAATTTTTTAGAACATAATAATATTATTAATACCTTTATATAAGTACATTACTTTTCTTAAAAAAAAAACGATAATTATTATAGCATTGTTTTTAGATTATTATATATATAGATTATATTTGATACTTCTAAAAAGAAACAAGATAATACTCGTTTGCTTTTAAATATTTTTTTATTAATATAAATTTGTATTTTACCGTATCACAGTAATCCGATTGTAGTTCCCATTGGGCTTTTCTTCTTTTATGGTATGATCTTCTCCAAGGGTGTCGCCATACCTGTAAAATAATACAGTGACTTATAATTTTATAATAATTTGAAAAGTTTTACTTATAGTGTAGTAAGTACTAGCACACCCCTGACATTTTATTACATGTGTAAAAGTACAATTTTATCATTATGTTGATAAAGAAATCATTCAAAACACAGACTGACAAAAATACGTATTCACACCGTTTCCAGAATGTATAAATACGGGTGGGTACTTACAACGATCTTCATATTTAAACTTAATTATTAATATGGGAAGTCGCTATTACGCAAATAAAAATATTATAGAACTCTTTAGACTTATACAAAGTATAAAGCGTATTGCAATGTAACCAGGACAAATGCTGCATGTTTAGAAAAATGAGATTGAATGGACGGAACGAAATGAGAAAAACCTGCATAAATATTAGACCGTCAAATAAAATCTAAAATATGACTGAATTTGTTGACCCGTATTAGATTATAGAACAACATTTAGTTAGAAACTATGTATATAGTATACTTATTTATTTCTGCACGGTAAATATACTATAATAGATAGAGACAAGAATGTCAAAGGCCTCAATTCTAATCCACGAGTAACTACCGTTCTTCATGTCTTGTATCATCAATTTCCATATTTTTATATGTAACATGTTTCTTTGACCTACAAAGGTTATAAAATTATATAGAAGTCAAAGAAAGAAATAATTTGATAGATTAATCATAATGTATTGTTCATGAATCCTCTTTTTCTAGATATACACATATAACTATGTTTATAAAATATTTGTCTATAGCAAAAATTTATCGCAAATTTTACTTCCGTACAGATAAATCTGTTTGCACATCTAATTTATCTATATATACATATATTATGATTATGTCCTTTTAATATATGTAAAATACTTATAAAATAATTGTAAAATAATAAATAGTGCCATATATTAAGGATATTATATGACTGTTATGTTCCTGGATGTATAATGTATATTGAATTTGTTATTTAAATTACTTGTATCTGATGTACAACAAAATTATTCATATGACAAATACAGTTTGTGCCTGCATATTTTATGGAAGGACAGAGTTTATAGCATTGTACTCAGACTTAAAGCCAACAAACGCATATTCGAATTCTGAAAAAGATCTCTGTTAAAATTACAATGTCTAGTCTAAAATCGTGAATTATCAACATTATTAATATGAATGGTAAGGTTTAAAATTGCGTGAGAAAAGTGAGAATATTCGACAGGGAAATTATAATGTCACATATGTACTAAACACCTAATTAAATATATACGTATAGCATTGCATAACGCCTGTGTGGTAGGCTAATACAATGCTCAAACAGTTGTTTTCAAATTTATCTAGTTTTATACAAAGTGTTGAGTAGCGATATGAATTAGTAGTTTAAAACCCAAAATTAGGCGTAGATACCCAAGAGATCATGAGTTCAAATTTCACCAACACAAAAAAAAAACTGTATGTCAATTTTTATTTATTACTAAGCCACCGGTGAAGGAAACACCGATAGAAAATAAAAATGTAGCTAGTAGCGATCCTACTAGCTACATTTTTATTTGCTATCGGTGTGCCACGTTTGATTAAAAATATACAATTCTTGAATTTTGACATGTGAAGCCAATACCACGAGAACGACAGTTGACAACGCCACTGAGTACCCCATCTAGGATATATGTCGTGACGGTATGTAAGTAATAAAATAATCTCACGACAATTCATACAGCGCCGTCTAGTCCCAAGTTAAAGCTTGTGTCATGGGTACTAGACAACTGATACAAACACATAGACATATGTTTTCGTAAATACATACATATACATAACACCCAGACCGACACACACAATCATACTCATGAATACTATTTACTATAATAATGTTTGTGCCATACGAGGAATCGACCCCGCGACCATGGGAAGTAGGCGTAAGAAACATTTATCTAAAAAACTACCTTTAGATTACTAACCTTCCGTTCAGCTATGTCAGATGACGGGAGAAACGCGGCAAAACTTCCTTCCAGCATGTCAGGGTTCCCGCAAATAGCATGTCCAGTGTCGCAGTAATACGAACATTTTCCGTGAAAGCAGAAATTGTTCGCTGGCGACACGAAAAAGGTCTTCAGGATGTCGCCTTCGGTGACGTCATAAATCTCCGTGGTCATGTTAAGTACTCGACCCACGACCGGCATGGCACGGCGGAAGCCCAATATCCTAGATTTGAATTAGTCATTGCTATTATTGTTAAATAAACTCGAAGATTCAAGGTAAACAAGATGCAAGTGCTTATACTGTGTGCATGCTTGACGCATTGGCGAAATAAATTTATAGATATAATATATACGTAATAAGTAATAAAACCACACAATTATTTATTTCGCTCTGCGAAAATTAAGCACTAAAATATATAACATTAGCAGAGCGTCAAATGGTGGCTTGAGTTTTATGATTTGCTATAAGCTATTTGTAATATATTTATTGCTATTTATATAAGGAGATCATATATTTTTAAAATTGTATAAACGATATAAAACATATTTTATATAAAATATCTACACAGAAGTAATAAATATACACATACATAAATGAATAAAATCAGAAACTGAACTGATTTGCGCATGCGAATGTCCATAGTTTATTTAGACATATTTCACTAACTACAAGAAACTGTAAAAAAATCATATTCACCTATTTTGTTGTTGTGAACATTAATGATTATTGTCATTATATACTTTGTACAAAGTCGTCTTTACTAATTTCAGCCACTGATTTGCGTGCTTTCTATACTGTGTTTCAGTTCATTATGACATCGTATGAGACTGAGTCACATGGGCGGTTACCACTCACCATCAAGTTGGCCATAAGCTTGTTTACCATTACAGTTACATAGAAAAAATGTATAACCACAAATCATTTGGCATGTTGGTACTATTGTTATTATTATTTAGGAAAAGTAATAACAGATATAAACGTAAATGTAATTTTACCTGTCTAAATGAAATGCCGCTATTTCAGCATTATGCCGTTCGTAATCCGAAAAGTAGAAGTGATTTGGCAACGTCTGTACATCTCTGGCAAATCTGTTAACAAAAGCAGATAGGTATATTATTGTGAATATTTCTAATAGACATCAAAAAGAAACATTCAGAACAGTATTTTTCATTTATCGTAAAAATATCGCGATATATTCTCTCATATTGTTAAACCAATTTCCTTAAATTGATCCTTTTCGGAAAGTGTTTAACGATTAAGATTTAACTACAAATTTGTAATAAAATAATAACTAAATATTTGAAATAGCTTATACTATTTCCCAATGTCGCGGGTTCCATCGACGACCAGCAAAATAAAGAAATATATATATGCATATGCATACGCACAACCTCTTCTTATTTACTTTAGCATTTATAATATATCTAATAAAGTAATGTGTAAACCTATATAGGTATATGATTGACATTGTCCTTTGATTGGTGTTTAATGAAATAGACTCATACTTGAGACTTAAATATTGTCCGTCATAAGTATGATATTTAAACTTGTGTAATTTACAGACTTTATAATTATACCTATCCTAGTTCCTAGTAATTATCAAAAAGCACTATAATCTAGATACATTAATTGCAATATTAATGTTTAAATTTGCATATTTTGCATGACTTAGTACCTAAAAGGAACTACAAAACGATTAGACGAGATAAAACACGTATTTGGTCTTGCCTTGAAGGCGACAGTTTGTAAGCACCGCTAATCAAGTGGTAGATGGTTGATATATCAAATTCAACGTAACTAATTTAAGATCTGAATGTCACAAATTTTTTTATTATTGATTGTCTCTAGAGCCTCGCACCGCTTTAAGACGTTTCAAGTGGGTTTCTCTACACTAAAATATAATATATATGTACCAAATCATATAAAAATTAGCTAAGAAATACAGAGAAAATTCATAATTAATAAATATATAATATTGCACTTGAACGTTCCTCACATACCGATGAGAACATTAATAGAAATGAATTTATATTAGTGTTACTGTATGTTTATTATTATTATTATTATTATTACTTTAAATATGAAAATAAACATTCCAAAAATAAAGACGACTGATATCTAATTTTTCAAATTCCTGAAAATGAGGTATATTTTAATATAATGTCAAAATAAACATGAAGTTGCCGAAATTAAATTACTAAGAAGCCACTCCACTCAGTTCATGTCAAGTATTAATGACGAAAATTTACACCAACAGGTATAAATCCATTAAAAAATAATATCAGATATCGACTCCGGAGCCACAAGAACAGTGTACCTTTGACATCTATTTAAAAAAATATATACTATAATTTGAGATTTTATTATCTTATATACCAATCTTACTGCTCTAATCATTTATATATATATGTTACATTTTTTTTTATTTGTAACACTTATGAACAAAACATTGCATAATAATAGAATAACATAAATTAAAACTAAGTTCAAAAGTCGTTCTTATCGCTATTGCACTCCCTTCCAAATAACCATTCGTCTCTTTTAGGGAGTCTTTAAAAAAAATAGAGTAGATGACGCATGAGTGGAAATAATTTCGGATACATACTCTAATGAGAATAAAATAGATATCCGCGAAAGTGTATTATGTCTGAGAAATATTATTGTAGGACTATTTTACCGTATCTAATGAGAATAAGTTTTTGTATGCGATTACATCATCATTATCACTACATAGTATAAAATAAAGTCGCTTGCGCTGTCTGTCCCTATGTAATTCTTGGTAATTCACAACGAGTAAACCATATTTGCTGTAGTAACATACTAGAATCACAGATATTCAATTTCTTGGTAAGAAAACGATCCATAAAGGCACTAAATTTTAGTTCTGGTTACAGGGGGAGGGATATTTGGGTGATATACCATGCGAGCCATCCAATTTATTGGCTGTACTCACAGTGCGCACACAAATCTAGTTATTTTCACCAATATTATGAAATATGAATGTTTATAAATATTTTTATCGTGAATGTTTTTTACTCAATAACGGCCGGAAAATAACAATTGGAATTTATTACATATATAGATTAACCAATAAAATAACATTTACTTGCCACTTAATTTGTTTTTTTTTAAGATAGCATACATATGTCCGTCGTAATGCAATCTACCATCACTTCAAATATCATTAAAAACTGTTCAGGCGTTTAGTCTTAAAAAGTTATATTTATTTCATTACCATCCGTTAAACCGGTTAGTCCTGATAAGGTAACAAACTGACAGACGGATACTTTTGACTTTACAATATAGATATGGAAATATTCTAGACATATACAGCACATTTTTATCAAACTTATGTGGGCCACGGAACACGACTATTTTAATAACACTAATTGAATACCTAACATTCTAGACTCAATGCAAATTCTTAAAATTTAGTTGTTCTTAAAATGTTATATGAATAATATTAAAACCAGAATAGAGAACTAAACGATTGGACTTATAAATATTATATTAATGTGTAGTGTAATTAAGTATTAATTGAAAAAAAGAAACGTTAATAAGTTGAAATAATTATTTATCTGAAAAAACATGCTTCATCGACATGAAGAGGAAGTTGCACGAAAAAAAACTATCTATCTCTTATATTATATCGTAAACAAAATATGTTAATTTTTAAGTTTAATGTTCCACACAGAAACATGGATTCAGATGGGTATTTATTTTAATAGTTACGAGTAGTAGTACTGACATTACTCACATTCGTCGCATTATTATTTCATATTATTATAAATGTTCTATATTGAAAAAAAAAATTTTAAGAATCTCTTACTGCCAATTATTATATTCTTGACACACGAATTTTTGTCTAAAATATTATACTCTCGTAATGTTAACTGGTAGACGATAAAACTAACACGTACAAGGTGGAGGGAAGGGTTATCGGCTGTCGCGAAATTTATCGCTCCCGGGCGGATTGTTCAAGATCCACGAGGGCTCTTGATATGTCGTCGGGATAACCCCCTGAGTCTATATTTTTTGAAGAAAAGTTGCTTGGTATAGATACTCCTTGAGTTAGTGGTATGTAAAGTTTCGGCAGTAATAATTTTCAAGGAGGTGTATTTTGGAGCATGTCAGAGTGGGCATCCAAGATTGTAAGTTTGTTTTATGAAAATTAAAATCGTTATTAATTAAATGAAAATTTCTAATCAATTGGGACTGCGGAGTTTAATTTTAAAAAAATGTACGAATTGCAGACTATAAATATATCAGTCTTAATATGAAAATAAGGTATAAATGATCTCAGACCAAGTGTGTTCCAATTGATAAGAACATACAACCGTAAGGTCACTGATAATTCTAGTAGTTATATAATACTTAATATAAATTTGCATGTTAACTTTATTTTGTCTCTTTTATAAGTTATAGAAATATTTTGTCTATTATTCGTTTTCTATAACAAATAGACAACAAAAGTGCCAACTAAAATGACATCAAAGTAGCAAAGTGCCAAGACATCTGATATTGTATGCAAAGCTTTTGGGACTCTGCTGAAATTCCCCCGAGTGGATTTTTGGAACTTACTCCTTTGTCACGTTCAAAATCATGTCCTATCATATTTGACAGCATTTCATAGGAAATATCAGATATAAATATGTAATAATATTTACATAAACGAATAACAATAGAGACAAATACCTAGTTTAATTTATGAGATAAATACTGGTACGTTGCCAATGTTCCTAAGATAATAACGACGTACGTCTATTTTCTAACAACATTACAACAGAATAGTAACTACTCTTGTTTCTCCATCAGTTAAACACGAAAGAAGCAAACGATTAATCTTACTAACTATATACTGATAAGTATTTATACCCTAATAGATATTGAGAAGAGGAATTGCATACAAAAAAAATCACAACTTCAATTTGATGACATTACGAGTAATACGAGTATGTACTCAACAATGGAACAAAGCCTATAGTTTACAAAACTGGTCAAAAACATATAGAGACGAATTAAGAATCGATTTTTTTAAGTAAATTGAAAGCATTTTCAAAACTTGTCCCTGGTTCTACATGCATTTATTTAAATATTGATTAATTCCAGATACATTTGTATTATGGATAACAACTACTGATGTTAGGTGTCTGTTTCCTATTTGATAAATGCCAACTAGTGTGTGACATTTACATAAATATCAGCGTCAAGTATACCGATTAATGTCAATACTAAATACTAAATTTCAGATAATGTATATGTAAAAGAAAATAGCACAACAAAATAAATGAGTTTAAAGAAAACTCTTCAAGTTTTAGTTCATTCAAACGGAAAGAAAAGCTTTAAGAAACTAACTGGAATGCATACTTGTTACTCGTGAAAATTGAATGGAAAATACAATCAGGTTCCAACAATTGCACGAAAGTAACCCAAGTTGGTGCGACAACTCAATAGTTGTATGGTACTTGTAGTTCAGAACTAGGGGGCAAGCTGTTAAGCCGATCGTGTGGAAGAACTAAGTTTTCTGAATAGGCGTACAACACTACAACACTCGAGCAAGATGACAAACAAGTTGCCAAGTGCTTCAAGCACGCAACACATTCTCCGTCTAAACTATACAAGAAGAAGTAAAAGTATGAGAGTTGTTATACTTATCCTAAGTTTTTTTATTGTATGATAAAATTACTTCGAATCTAGAAGATAAAAGGGGTGATTAATCATTTTAAGCTGACATTAGCAAAAATTTAAGTCTCAAATAGCAGTCGTAAGAAATAACTTCTTTTAGTTACTTTGGATATACCTATTCATTTTTAAATCATAATGGTCGGAAATATCCAATTCGTCTGACGGTAAAGGGTTGCCATAACGTATAAACGCCTGCAACACCAGATGCATCATGTGCAACAGCTTTCTTTTGTTTTATGACAATACTCGGTCAATGCCAATTATTATAAATTTTGCTTATTTAAATGTTTAAACAAAAAGATAACCCAGAATCGGTAATAAAAATTCTTTAAAAAAATATATGTAAATCCTCTTAGTAATAAATATCTACGTTAACGCCAAGTTTTTATTTTATTGGACAACCACAGATAACAATCTTTAATCTCTCTATTTTCTTGAGCTTACCTCATGGGCTTAAAAAGCGCTTGCACACCATTTGGATAGTCGATGATTAACTTGAGTTGTGTACCGCCCTCCTTTTGCTCTGTTAAAAATAATACAAAAATATATAAATTTCTTAGAATACTAAAATTACAGATTTATTATAGAGCCCTTAATCTTAAGGTTGCGCGGATGTATTTTATTGTCTTTACAGTTAAATCTAACGTTATGACCGTTGTAGTTGAAATAATCTTTAGTTTTATACCAGAAAAAGATTTAACTAACGGCCTCTTACAATATGGTCAAATCAAATAAATTATCTTATATTGCTGTACATAATTTACAAAAAAACAAAAATAAATTACTTGTACCTCTAGGCAATTTTCAGTCTCTTTTTACAATTGGAAGGGCGAAAGTCTTTATCAGATAATAGAATCCATGGGGTAACCCGTAATATCTTTCAATTTATTTAAGCATTTTTAAGTAATCACAGATATACATATATTAGTTTTCATTAAGTAATGTATTTCACATTTCCTTAAAATAACATTAATAAAAACTTGTACGTACAATATTGAATAATTTTATCATTTAAATAAATTGAAAAATAAGGGCACTTAATTCGACTATATTTTTACATAATTGATAAAGTTTGCCCCCTGTAGGTAATTTATGATTTCATCATTAAAGAGATCGTATTATTATGTATAAAAATACCTAAACAAGTGATAACTTATAGATATAACAAGGTTGAAGCGATCTATAGTTAGCTGAAAATAAATGTTAGAGCATGCAATAAAGTTGGCTCAACAATGAAATCCAGTTAAGTGGCTTAAATATTTAAGTTCTATTGAAGTAAAGGGCGAAATTGTTGTGGCAGTGTAGTCCGCCGCGGCCGGACCTCTCCGCCGCAACTGATTGCGGGACCCACCTTCATTTAATATACATACGCTACCTATTATAGGCCATTCTGAAGATATACAATATGTAGAAGAATATATAATATCGATTTATACAGAATTAGGTATTATTGTGGTATAGATATTTTTTTACGGCAACATACAACCCGAAATGAGAATAAATCCCAATAGTATTTCGAACAAACTATAAAGTCAAAGTCATAATTACTTTATATAGAACATGTTCGTCTCTTTTGCAAGTCATAAGCAATCATGTAATATATTTTTAATTATATTCCTTCTTTCTAGTATATTGTCATAGTATAAAAGCCGAAGATACTGCTCTTGATGGAAAGTAATATCCATACATTCCTGACGTATAATATATATATATAATATATATATATATAATATACACAGTAAATGCAGTAATAGAATTATCTCACTGTATTCTATTCTAGAATTAAGGGATTTTCAATTATTTAATCGGCAAACAGTGTACACAATTTATATTTTAAATAACATTAGTGTGGATCACACACTATCGATAGTTGACCAAACCGAAATATATACGAGTGCCCCTCTCTCAATTAAAGTGACCTGAAATGCGAATAAATAAAATATTCACATCACCCTCGATTGAACCTAGAAAACCAATTACATTTAGACAGTGGGACTAACAACAAACGTATATTCTACGTAATCCAAGCGGTAGTAATAGGAGAACATATCTTTTTGAAATTCAAATCGATATTTCTTTTTACTTGATTGTAATATCCAAACAATATTATTACTTTTATAAGGGCCCATTCGTTTGGTATAGGATGTTTTTCAACTATGAAATGGAGGCTATACTTATTTTAAATTCGACCACTGGAAATACATACTCGTATATTGGTGAAAACTGCATTCAATTGCCTGTCATAGTTTTTGTAATTAGTAGTTTCATTTAATTCTAAAAACAATTGTTTACATTTGTGTTATAATATAGCCCCTCAAAGTGCTTGTTTCTTTATGTTGTGTGTGTTTTATTTCGATATTCATAACGTACAGTATAATTTTATTATGAGTACGTGTAGGGATCTACATTTATGTCTTGCGTCAAGGAATGCCCTATGAACCTATGCATAACCTTCATAATATAAGTGAGTTACAGGTTTACTTAGGGTTCATGATGAGAAAATAGACACGTGATACTAATAGTTATATCTACAATAAAAAATAGCTCATTATATATAAAAGGACTTACCAGCATGTATAACAGTCGAAGTTGCCATATCTTTTAGTACAGCATCGACTAACGGCTCACCGTCTTCATATAATTCATGCTGAGCTATCTTCAATTGAAGTTTCTCCAAATTTGATGCATTTATACTGTTAACAAAAACATATTAAGTATTTACGATTGTATATGAAAAACCGACTACCAACCCTGTCAATATTTATATGAAAACAACATGAAATGTCCTAAAATCCCCTCTGAGGTTCGTAAAGATATCGCCTCTACTTTTAGTAGTCGGTAGAGTACGTCTGACAATACAAACCAGACTTCACGGCTGACTCCACCACGACTGGGTTTTTTTTCAATTTTTATTAACAAATATAATAGATTTTGTACACTATTTGCACTACAGTCGACGGACTACTATTTAGAAATCGCCACAATATGTGACTTCTTCTTCAAATATCAAGTTTTTGTTTCTATTAAGGTGACAGATTGTTAACTATACCAGCAGTATTTATTTAATAATACAAAATTTACAGTTCTTGTGTACACATAATGTCGGAAATCGCTGTAAAAGATTTAGATATAAATTAGTATTATGTTTTACTTTCTTTATCTATAAACATGTCTTTCCGGAAAAAAATCAATTTGTAATTAAAAAATCTGAATAATAATTTATAGAAATAAGACGCTGAAGCTCAGTCGCCCAGAAAATATTGTTAAGTTTTACTCGTATATGGTTCCTAATTTATTTTCTGGAAGTATTTAGTACCATAACATATCTAATTAAAATGTGTATATTCCTAAAGATTCAGACATTTATGATATAAGCTACCGTCACTTGGGAATTTTTTTAAAGTTAAGAAGACATTCATACGTCTTTTATGTTTATTACATATTGCTCTAATATAAATACGAGTATATTGTACTGGCGTAGGTTACATGTCTGACAAAAATACTGATAAATACATCCTTACACATTAATTACGTATTACGATTATTGAGCACGGTGATTATTGATAAGTTTTATACATGATTGACGTTAAAATATTCAATACCTGTATCATTTCATTGACGTCTCAATGACTAGTAAGCCATCTATTGTTCTAGCACGTGCTATGAATACAAATATGTGAGGCACATCCGCGTCAAAATACAGCTGCGATCTTAACATTTTATGAAGTCGAGATATTTAAAAATTTTCATACACAATCTTAAACCTGGTCGTCAACGAGATTTACATGGAAGATTTTCCGATGGCAGCGTGTTGGTTTTGGCTGCGTGGAACACATAAGTGGACGTGATTTGCCTACACCTGTGGGTGCGAGGCGTCTAGCGACAAGCCACAGGGTGGAACAGAATACTAAGGAGCCTACGTGTAACGTTCTCGATTTGTGGCATGTTCCGATAACCTGCATTCAGAAATCAAGCCGCCAGCTACTATAAAATTTATTGGCTCCTATTTTAGTTGTTATTGTGAACTTAAAAAGACAATGTTTCTGCTTGGGAGACATAGACAATTAGAATACCAAATGATCGACGAGACATGTCACTTGTCAGAATACTAACTTGCCACGAACGCCGAAATTTGATATTCAATGGGACTTTAGAATGTTTACTTGGCACATAAATGTTAATATAAGTAGATACCTACATAATATTAAAATGTACATATGTAACAAAACATGTCAAGATACCTACGACCTAATCCTATATAGTTAAGTTAATAAAATCGCTATAATATATATTTTTATATATTATTGCGATATAATAGTGAATTAAAATTTATATCTGTCACATTTTACAAAAAATATTTTTATTATAAATCGGAATAAATTTTGCTTAATATAAGTTACCTACTTGATCTACCACTTAAAAAGGAAATATTGTTTACAAACATAAGAGAACATCTATTGTGATTGTAAACAGTATTTTCTTTTCCTTTCGTAATTTTAGCCAATTTTGGAAACAATAAGCTGAAATGATTATATATCAAAGCAACTCTTTTTTATATGATACATGAAGTTTCGTAGAAGAGGTCCCATCATATCACGAACAGCGTTTTGAGGAAGCCATCATGCATTCATTCCATTTAGTTTTATTGTCAAAGACCCGCGCCTATCTCGGCGCGGCCCCGTAACTGGATTTTAAATAAGATTCTTTCGTGGAGCTTGTGAAATTTGCCTTACAAGATAAAGAAAGGTCGCCTTGGATGTTTCATATTATTATAGAATCAGCCGTCTAAGAAGTATGATATGATCCTTTTTTTATAGGCCTGCATGAAATGTAATCCGTTCAAAATATAGCCAAGCGCAAACGACATGCGATACTCTTTTTATTCTTTTCACGTCATCCTTTAAGAATTGCTCTAATGTTTGCTACGGTGAAATTACGTTAACCACGAGAGACTACCTGCGACCAACCTGTTTGATTTTGATGCATAGTTCAGTGTTGGAGACCAACATTTGGCGGTAGATTTAATAATTCTGTTGACTTTTTTTAAATTTCAACGTATTGATATACTGCATATTTATTATTTTCTTTTTATAAACTTACACGTAAATGTTAGATATGCTGTGAAAATAGTTTAACAGTTTCAACGCGATTGTCGTGTTATCTAAGTTTAATTGCTGCAATAACGTAGCAACTAACAATTTAATTTGGAGACTCGGCGTGCTACATAAATCGTACTTATGGATGTCAGCTGTCCGCAACTTTCAACAATTTTCCTTGTAATGTCCTTTTCAAGTCGTTTTTCGGTGAACAATTTTAATTACCTCACTTAACTGATGCCACATTCTATTTCATACTTTCTACAGAACTTCAGTTTTATTTCGTTTACAATATCCATTTATATTGTAAAGTATTTATATAAATAAACTTTGTATTTTAAAATAAGATTGTGTTTAATAATTTAAAGATTATATTTTAAAATTGGACTTGTAACCAACCAATAATTGTCGTATATACACAAAATTAATTCCGACATAAAATAATAAAAACTATTTTGGATATGAAAATATTATTTTCATTTTAATTTGGAATTATATTTTATTATTATTATTATTACATGACTAACTCAATACTGGCAAAATATTCTTCTAACTATGAACCAACGAGTTGCTATTTAAAAAAAAAACAAGAATAATAGTTTACATAATTTGACATTTATTTATTTATACCTATTCCTAACCAATCGAATTAATTGATTTTTTTATTCTAATTTGATGTATATTGTGCATAGAATAATAAATATATGAATAACAATACTATTTTTCTTAGTAATGACATAAAATTAAAGAAACTCTTAATTTATTTTTATAAACAATCTCACCTAGGTTCTAAGTCCTCCATCTCTCCAATAGTAGGATTCTCCGGCCTTAGAACGTTTAAGTCCCGGTGTGGGGGTACTACGACGGGATTGCTATCTGATCTGCCTAGCAGCTGGTCGTGGAGGATCTTCAGCAAGTCCTCGTATCGGTCTGTTGGTGGTGCTGGAGTTTTAGGTTCAGTGTCTGCCGCACCACCGCTCGTCTCGCTTGGCGCTGATTGCTCATATTCTCGGGAACTATTGCCGACATTGCTGTAGAAACAAAATAAAAGTCACAAAATTGTCATGATTCTAGAATAATGAAATAATTCTATTTCCATCTTTCTTTAATATTTCTTTGCATATAGATAAAATGTATTCTTAGGACTATACGGAACTGTGAATTATTCAGAGTAATTACATAACCTATAATTTAGCATATTAAAATAGAATAGAAATATTATTTATTCAAATAAGCCTAATATGACTTAAGAACTTATTTTCGAATAGTAATATAATTATTCTATTTTCAAATTTTGATGGTGATATTATGTGGATTTGCAGTTATTGGTAAAAAATAGGGATGCTATACTGAGGGAAGAATTGAAACAAGCGTGACGTCCTGGTTCAGAGCTCTATATGGGTTGATGATGTATGATGCACAACTCGAAGCAAAGGTGTATAATCACAGAAGTTAGGAATCGAACTTTCTACCGAGTGACACCATACATAATGCTTTATATTGTTGATACTTAAGAGGAAAATTAAACGTAAATACTCAACATGTGAACAATGTCAAACAAGCGAACTAGGTAAGTTTCCATATCGTTTCTGGGAATTTTAGTTTGGGTGTACAATAACTATGATTAGCTAAGCTGGATAAGTTGTGTTCGTTTGACTTTACCAGAACTATTTACAGAAATAAAAAAGTAATTATTGATTTAGCTCCATGTAACTTTCGCTATCGCAGGTGAATAATATTTAACATAAAATTTTGCGTAAAGCATTATAACACCAATTTTTTTTTTATTAATTGATTCCTATATATGTATCTATTTATAAAAGTAAATACTCTATTCTCATATATAACTTTAAATTATGAAAAAGGTGAATATTATGACTATACAATGTAGGAAATTCTATATACATAGGTAGTAGGTAAAGTATAAAAATAACTGATTGTTTTCGTTTGCAGTATCATATATGTAGTGTATTTACCTAATATCAGTATTGTTACCTATTTTATACATATTTATAATTCATAATATATAGAATTGATTTATACATACTAGTAATATTTAACAATGTGGTCGACACAATTTGCCATACCTAATACCATATACAATTCTGAAAGTAATAAAATAACTAAGATATCATACTCATGTGTTAAAAAAATCATGGCTTTTTTTAAATAAAGAGTTAGGTTCTAGATCTCATTCAAAATGCAGGTTTATAATCTTCTGCTTCTTTTAATAGTGACTATATTATAAATTAGTAGTGTACATAATGAATTTATGTCGACAATAATATACAGTATACTGTAGCTATTTTGTAGAAATTATTGGAGATATATTTTTTTTATAATTGTCCTATTTACCCTTGAGACAATATATCCTTAAATAAAATTATTCATCTATTTCAATGTTCTAATATTTAGAACTCGACAATAATAAAACAAACTATTTCATTGTCATTTTTAACACGTTTTCAATGTTGTAAATTGCCTACTATTTCAATATTCTCCACACAGAACTGTTCTACAAATAACGTATGTGGAGATATCACACGATTTTTATTCAGTTCTCGAATAAAACACTGTTTATTTTCTATTGTATCTGTAAATAGTTGATTTTATTATAAAATATGTACTTAATAATTAATCAATAGTGGACATGTATTTTTTTATCTGTTGAACTTATTTTCTAATAACTAAGATTACTTTTAGAAATACACAATGAAACATGGTACGGAATTCTATTTTATATGTAAATATTTTAACAGACTGTTTCTTAAACATTTGAAGACAAAGTCGATTATATTAATCGAAGTTCATATATTGGTATATATTATAAGGGATCATAATCTTTAAACTAAACGTATTCTATGATTAGCTATAACGTACATAAGTATATATATAGTTGCTTAAAAAAGTTAAAAAATGCTTTATCTGTGTCTTATATAAATATCTTGACTTTTTTAATGTACTTATCAAGCTATTACACATCTCGTTGTTCCCTGAGCAACGTTGGGTTTGTAACATTGATTTTATATAAAAGAAATACTCATAGTCAACAGAAATTAAGTTAATTTTTATTATGATATATTAATACAAAAAAGAATTAAATATATCACTTAGTATAATACATTCATATTTGACTTTAACCTAATAAATATTTATTGCTTACGACTTTTTGTAGATGGTGTAATTAGAAGCATTTATCAGCAGTTGTCATTGTGGTGAACTCAACATCCCAGACTTATTGTAGTTACTGTGGTATTAGAGTCTCAGGACAATAATAGACACAATACTTAGCAAATTAATTAAATGACGAGTGGTGCTTGTGGTTTACAATACTAATAGCCTGAAATGTTAATTGTTTCCTGATAAATGTAAAATTGAAAAGGTTCAGTTTCGATTCAATTAATCATTTCAAGTGTTAGGATGACATGGCGTGGGAGGCGTATTTGTGGTTCACAATAATTGTAATTTCAATAGAGAATTGGATTTGATTGCTTTCCAACAGTTGGTTAATTGCCTCGTATTTGGGTATTATTTTCAACCGGTATAAAAAAAGGTTTTAAATTATCGCGACAAACTGAAAAGTTATTGTTATCCTCTCTCTTCGTAGGAGAAATATTTATCCTATCCTATCCTATCACTAATCGGACAATCAAGTACAGAGTTATTGTTTGGAGTAGATTTTCCTTTCGTATCCCTCTTGTGTTGGAGCAGATATGGTAAAAATTTCGTAGCAGTTAGAACATAGTTCCTAGTAGAATCGTCTTTGTATTGGTCATCATTAGTCAGCGGGTTCCAGTAACCTAATTCTCTCTCATTAATGCTAATGTATTTTTCTTTCTTCTTGTGTCTTTCTAGGTGATATATATGGTATTTGTGATTGTATTTTGGACATTATATCTTTATACTTAATTTTTTATTTTCTAAAACATATTTATTAAACTATTATTTGCATATTTTAAGCCTTTCAACACTTCCTATGCCATGTTTTTACTCGTATAGTCTAGTATATATACTATGGAAGAATTTGAAAGGATCGTAACCGCAACTAGGTACACTAGTTATAATGTTTCTATTGTTTATACTTTTTATTACACATTGTATAGGACATATGACCTTCTCATACTCCATAGTCTACCTGCACCGTATTACCAAATATTTCCCAGCAATGTTTGTATCCTTGTTAGTTCAAAAGTCTAGAATGTATTTAACTTTCTAAGCTTGTCTTGTACGTACAAAATTATATTGACAAGTTCACCTTCATGACTATAATTACAAATAGGTAACCAAAACAACTAAGCTATTTAAATTAATATAATTAGATAAAGTTTATCAGATATATTTGTAAACGAATACGTGCCTAAATTGAATCGATTATCTATAGGCATATAGTGATTACATTCATGATTAAATCTCAGTCAAAATAACCTAATATTACAGTACAATCAGTTTCGTATAGATTGCAATTTCAAGAATCATCGTTTTATCATCATGAACTCAAATTGTTTTTTCCAAAAATACTGTTAACATTTGTACGAGGTTGTATGAAGACTGTCCACTTTTTATGCTTACGCTAAGCTCCGGCGTTCTCTACAGCGGAAGACCGCAGTTAAAGCACCATGATCCGTTTGTTTATTATAATAAATTCATATAAAGGAATGAAAAAAGTGTTTGTAAAAGTTAAATATAATAATGTATTAACTATAATTAAGTTATGTTAAAGGTTTATGTTTTTGTATTTTGTTTTAGTTTATTTATTTAGATTAAACTTTCTTCCGTTCATGATAATTGTAAAATCCTAGAAACCCATTTTAACTGTAACATTAGTTTGTTAATTTAATGAATTGCCTAGTATTGACTACGAGATAACCTTCATGAATCTGACTGTGTAATATATCTACACAGATTTAACTTTTTTTTAATTTATTTTTTTATTATCAAAATTTTTGATTAGACTTACACGAGTATAAGTTGCTAAAATTAAAAAAGGAAACAATACAATGACAGAATTATTGATTTAGTCATATTATAGAATTAATAAATTATAAATGTTTGTAAATATATTCACGTATTTCTTACTACTTAACAGATAAATAGAGTAGATCTAATTTTGGCACATGAATGAATCCTAAACTCAATTTATGTTATATATAAGTCTGTGGTTTCGCCCATAAAAGTATCCAGATATTGTTATGAGCAAAACCACTAACTACCGCTAATATATTCATATAAATTATATAAAAACGTTATCATGGTGTCAAATTTCAAGTAAACAACTTGTCACCGTTTAGGTAGGTATTACGTACTATACTAATGTGTACGCAACGTCGGTACATAATGTTACAATGGATGTCACTTATTTTTATTTACTGTGACAACTTGTGTACTTTTCTACAACGAATATGGCAAAAATCATTATGTACCATGTATTACGTTTCTTTTACATATTTGCCCAACTGAGTTGATGACATATTAATTAAAGTACCTATTGTTCTAAAACAAAGCCCAAGAGAGGAATGAAATTGTCATATATTATAATTATATGTATTATGTTTATTGCAATATACACATATAACTATAGAATTTGTTCCATAAAATAAACAGACGAGTCATACACTAAGTCTGACTTCAATTCATGCACAAAATATGTGCTGAAACAACAAGATAGTAAAACTTTTCGGCTACCATAAAATGATTAATATCTGTTACTAGTCAAATTTAATTCGAAAATATATTTCTATTTTCATGTCAGTCTGCATAAATAAATTTTATGAGAGACCGAATATTTTACAGATGTATTTATTTGCAAATATAGCAAATCATCAATAATATTAATAATAATTGTATTTATATTATTTTATATAAATATATTATACATAAATAGGATTCAACATTGAATTTAAGAATCATTTAATTTTTTTATAGTTATTCTACTTGAATATATATAACCAAATTTTTTTATAATATATCAACTACATCAAAAAATAATATATATATATATATTTTATTTATTTGGTAATTAAATATTATACTA